ATGAAGTTGTACCTTAGTGTGAAATTCAAGCTCAAGTAGTTCTTGCGTTCAACTGCGACCTCTTCTTTATATGATAATAATAGATAGACCATAATAATAGATTTACCATTACAGTAACAACACTATACCTTTAAGGAATACTGTAATAATTATCCAAGAGAAGTAAGGACTTAAACTATTATTATTGTAAAATAATTTTCATAGGTGTATTCAGAGTTTAGGACTCCTAGTAAATATTGGTTTCATTTAGCATTTTAGATATTATTTATAACAATTATTGCAAGTACAATACCAGGACCAATTGCAATGAAGAATAAGTTGATTATTTGTTCGATTAGTTTTGCACTTGTGGTACAAAGTGTAAGAAACAAAGTGTTCAACAAATTAACTTTCAATAATCATATAATAGTATATTTATATAGGGATTATAAACGGCCTTTTTGTTCATGCAAACACTAGGTTTGTAGGTAAAAAAACCAGTACAAAAATAAAACTTGACCTAAAACAATCTATAATAAAAACATAGCTCAGTTGTAAATTATTATAAAGAATGTACAAGGTTTTTAATGATGTACGAATAAATGAAGATACATGCAACAAATCCTTAATGTAATAATTGGGTTCGGATTATAAGGCCAGAATAAAAAAGTCACTATGACACGATTTTGTGTATCTAAGTGGGGTCATACAAATTAACTTAATTTTTTAATTTAAGGTTAATTTTTACTTTGTTTTGGGTATGTACTAGTTTCTTTGTAATAGTATAATTGTTGCATAAAACCTTTGAATTATAGAAAATTTAATATTCTTTCCAATAATTTTAACTATAACTCTCCAAACTTTTATTACATGAATTTTGTGCCAAAGACTAATGAAATAAGAAATACCTCCGCCGCAGCAAACCTGTCGACTAAGTGAATTTCCATTTGTCCAAATTAATTTTCAATGAAATCTATTTAAATAACATTAGGTTTAACGAGTACCTATGTTTGCTGCTATAAGGAAACTAATTAAGTGTGGGTTTTTGTAAAATATCAATACCTTTAGTATAAAAAATAAATTTGCCAAGTTCGATTAAAATATATCCATAAACAAGCAAATTACAACATTTTACAATATTCTCTTTAAAAATAACATGCGAATTTTTAATTTTAATTGTTTTAAATTTTATCCGTTACCAATAACCGTACAAAAGACTTTCATATACTAAATTATTTGTTTTTCGACCTCTTAAAAAAGGTCTAGAGAGAAATTGGGAAGTTTTGTGTTTTGAGGGTCAAAAATGAGAAAAACCAATCTTTAGCCCACACAACCCCCGCAAAATCCCGTTCCCATGGTCCGATCATGCTGGTTCGCGAACTCATTCAAATTTATCCCGCTTTATAGATATTCATATATAAATTTTAACGAATGGTGTTTTTGGCCTCTGGGGACATCAAAATGAAAAAAGTAAATTGGTCCCGGGCCTAGGTCTTTACATGCTACCTACGGTAATAGCTACTGCTCTATAGGAAAATTCGGTAAAACACAAAACTCCCTATTACAGCCAAACGGTTGGTAATCAGACATGTTGCTATAGGAACTTGTTTGTTCCTTTTAACTGGCGAAGTTAAAACGCTCTGTAGAAACTCACCCTGTATACATATGTAACAATGATTCCTTAAAGTAATAATTAGGTTTGGTATATAAGGCCAGAATAAAAGAGTCACTTTGACATTTTAAATGAAACACGAATATCAGGGTGAATTTCAAATTATACTTGGTGGTGGGTGTGAGGAGGGGAGGGGGATCATCCTAAGTGGATAAATAACTGTTTCTGAGATTGCTGTTCCTAATCATTTTAATCAGCTTTAAGCATAAATAACTTAATTTTATATTAGAAAGTTTGAAGTAAATGTTACAGATTTGCATAACAATTGTTAGAGTCCTTATTAATACATAACTAGTGTACATGTTGCTCGAAATCGAGCAATTGCAAAGAAGTACAGGAGTTATTTATAAACAAATAACTTGTTTAAAAACTAATAACAGTCATAATTTCGATGATTTTAAAAGAGTCACCTAAAATATTATTAACTAATGGAAATACTCACAATTTACATAACAGTCCTATTCGAGTTTAAAGGGTTAATTATTAACCTTCCTTCTTCTCACTATTAATTTATGCTTCCAACGGGAAAAATCTGTTTCATAATCATACGTCATTCGCCTATTGGGTCTGATGATGATTGGAGTGTCCAATCGAAATCGATCTCCACTTACCATATTTTTTGTATATTTACCGTCTTGTGAGTAACAGTATAAGCGTAAATATATGTTTTAAGTGTTATAAGACGTTTCTTTTATTTACTTTTCATAATCATTGAAATAGATTTATAATAAATAATCTATCATAAAGTTTAAGATTAAATAAACCTACCACATAGTTGTTGATTTTTTTTTAATCAGCTGTCTGAAATTGTGAAATAGGCATTTGACAGTTCTGGTTCAGCAAATGTAAACATTGTGAATTTTCTTATGCTTCCATGGAGACAAATTATTAATATTTAATCTCTGACAACAGCTGGAGTTTCAAAACAATGTTGGTTTCCCATGTCAATCTTATGGAGAAATACAAAACTTTAAAGGGCCCCAGGGCGTCACTCTCTAATTATTTTCCTAAAAAGAAAGTTTCCTGCACAACTTCACGTTATGCTCTTTCTAATGACACCAAAAACTTGTCAATCGGTTCAGTAGTTTCGGAGGAGTAATTGTCACAAAAATCCTGCTTGCGTATTAAATAAGTACAATAGATTACATAGATAAGTGGTAAATATTCTTCAGCTGACTGTGCTGAAAGTGTTTTATTCGTGAAATATAATAATTAGAATGAAATAGAAGTTAAAATCTGTAATTATCTGTTCTATTTTGTATGTAAAAAAATATTACTAAGACACCTACATTGGTTCCGACCAAGAGATACTCTAAAAAGTCGACGGATGTTAGGATGTAGTTAAAGATAATAGCATAAATAATATTTTTAGATAAAAAAAACAAACACATAATTGAAAAATAATTCAACACTTTGAACGCTAAGATTATCACTATTCCGTTCCCATAGTCCGATTATGCTGGTTCCTCAAAACGAAAAAGTAAATCGGTCCCGGGTCTAGGTCTTACCATGAGACCTTATGGTAATAGCTTATTCCCTATATGGGAAATTAGTTAAAAATAATACGTCTTTTACTTTATGAAATTTAAAACCTCAAGGTCAAAACTAGCTTTTCACTTAACATGTGAAATCCTATGCAAGGAGGTCTGGACAATGGCAAATCAAGTCCTTGATATGCAAAACAGAATCACAACCCTCAAAGAGGATCCTTTGCAACTAAACGGCTTACTGAACACATTTGCATTGTAATATTGTAAAGTTGTTGCGGTGCTCAGATGTGTTTCCTCTTGGCACAAAGTAAGTAACTTACATGTAGTAATATGTCATCCACCCTAAGGTTATGGAGCGATTCTAACATTTTTTGGCATTATAAGTATACATTTTTTTACAAATGTACAAGAAATTATTTGTAATTAGCTAGGTTTCAATAAGTTTTATCTTTTATGTTCTAACATAAATGTATACACAATATACATATTAATTGAAGAACTACAATCTAATAGCCATACAAATCAACACGACCGTCCGCAGTACTATCCTGATAATTAGACCAAGTAGTTAATACCAAGGCAAAAATGTGGTTCGGATTCCACTATTAACTGTAGGTCCCTTAGTTGCCATTAGCTGTAATGGCACAAGATCGTGCCACTCATCCTACACTCATCTCCATTCATACCTGGCTTAAAATACATACTTTGTATGGTCTCCATTTCAATGAAAAGTATTAAAGACAAAAGTATAATACGTATATCAAGTCCTTAAATTATATAATAAACAAGATACAAGAGAATGTACAACCTATTTTATTCAACCATTTTAACTGAATGAAAAATATATAAACACAAACATAAACATTAAAAACAATAACATAAATCATGTGTGTTAAGTCATATGTTGATGACAACTCCTTATTAATCCTCCCCCTCAAATTTACAAGGCCGAATGTGGTTAATGTGCCTTCTCCAAACCTGCCCATTGTCCATCTCGATTTGATAATGCACCAATCCTTCTCTCCTTCTTACGTTTCCAAATTTCCACTTTCCGTCTTTTCCAAAATTGCGCACCTGAACCCTGTCCCCCACCCGAAACTCTCTTTTGATTTTAGTACATCCGTCGGGCATTTCTGTGTGATCTTGTGGTCTCTTCATAAGATCCAGCCTTGTCCTTATTCGTCTCCCAAACAAAAGTTCATATGCCGAGGACCCTGTCGCATTTGTGGCATTCCTTAGTGACATTAGGATGTGATTTATTTTGAAGTGCAAATCTCCTCCATCATTCTCCATTGCTATTAACTGTTTCTTTACAGTCTGAACAAATCTCTCTGCTTGTCCGTTGGTTGCAGGGTGATAGGGGGCAGAGAATTTGTGTTTGAAAAAACTTACATTTGTCTTTATTTAGTTTGAGGTTGTGTCTCCTTATGACTTTCAAAACACTTTCTAGCCTTGTTAGGGCCTCAGACTCAGTCGAACCTTGAATAATAATATCGTCAAAAAAACACTGAACGCCATCAATTCCAGAAAGTATTTTGTCCATAAACCCTTGCCATAGAGCCGGAGCAGTCTTGATTCCGAACATGAGTCGATTTACCCTATATTGTCCTTTATGTGTACTGATTGTTTGTAGTAGCGCACTTTCTTGGTCCATTGCCATGTGTAAATAAGCGTTACTAATGTCTAGTGTACAAAAGTACTTACCACCACTCATTTTTGCAAAAATGTCCTCAATACGTGGAATAGGGTATTTGATGTCCTTAATTTGTTTATTTAAAGTCACTTTGAAATCTGCACAGATTCTGACCTTGCCACTGGGTTTTACGACTGGAACGATTGGAGTTCCCCAATCACTTTGTTCAACCTTCGAGATGATTCCTATTTTTTTCCAATCTGTCCAGTTCTTCTTCAACTTTAGGTCTTAAAGCATATGGCACTAAACGAGGTTTCATGTAAACCGGTTTGGCATCTTCAAGTAGTTGTATATGACCTTCTACCTCGGGAATAACACCAATATTTTGATCAAATACATCCTTGTAATTCTCAATCAGTCTATCGATATCTGCATGCATGTGAGAACTTGTAATACTCCTAAGGTCAGCCCAATCTAGTTTAACTTCCCTTATCCAATCACGTCCAAAGATAGGATCGACATTCCGGTTGATCACGTATAGTTTACCAATGAAATCGTGATTTTTGTATGTGCATTTCACAAATACATATCCAACAGGCTCGAAAACCTCCCCAGTATAAGTACGAAGTTCCACTTTCGTTTTGTGAATGGATTTGTTCAATCCTAGATTCATGTAATCCTTGTAAGATATGGTGCTCAATGCGGCCCCAGTATCTAGTTCCATTGTAATTTCATTCCCCTCAATGTTCACCTTCAAATTAAACTTATCTGAGTTTTTTGAAGTTATTAAGTTCATTTCATAAGATTCATCTTCTTCAACTAAGACATCAGCTTGACATGTGTTTCTCAAGTTCTTAAATTTTGTCATGGTATTCTCGCTCAGACAAACTCGAGCGATGTGACCCATCTTTCCACATTTTCTACACCAGTGTTCAGTAAATTTACATTTGTTTGCTTTATGCTTTTGGTCACCGCATCTGTAACACTTTCCCTTAAGTGATTGGAATGTGAATGAACTGTTGTTGTGTCCTGTAGATTTAATTCTCATTTCACTGTTTGTATTGAATCGTTTATTAGTAGGCTTTGAGATCACTTGATTAATTTCGGCTTTATGTTGTGAAGATGTAATCATTGTATTTTCAGTTTTAGATAGTTCCATTATCTTAGCAGTATTTATGACTTCCTGGAAGGTCTTGTCTGATTCTACTTGTAGTAGTTTCGTTCTTATCTCAGCATCTCGCAATCCTCTGATGAACTGTAAACGTAGCATAGTTTCAGCTGTAGATTTTCCACAAGAACATTTGAATTCACAAGGAGTAACAAGTTTCTTCAGTTCAACTGTAAAATCTGTAACGGATTCACCTATCATTTGCTCTCGTACTATGAAATTATGTTGCCGTGCCCAAACACTTGGTTGAGGATCCAAGTATAGCTTTAATAAAGCTATAAGGTCATCATAATCTTTCTGAAGTGGCGTGTCAGGTGCACAAATGTTGTAGAGCTTTTGATGTAACGTAGGAGGTAGGGCATTAAGTAGGGTGAATGTCTTTGTAGTTTCGTCTGATACGTGTTTCAGGTGCATAAATACTTCAAGTCTTTTTGTAAAATTGTCAAAAGATTCATCTTCACTGAAAGGTACAAATGAAATATGGAATGTTGAAGCTGTATTGCCAGTAGAGTTGCTTGCATTACCATTGATTTCTTGAGTTGTATTTGAAAGTGAAATAGGTTTCAACTGCTTCAACATAATCTTCAACGTAATGAATACTTCTTCAATGTCCATCTTGTAATTCACTTCTTCATCCAGTTCTGTGTCGTTTATTATTTGTTCTATTTTCTCTTGTACTTCAAGAAATCTAGTCCATGTTGAGTCCAGAAGTTCTAGACGTTCGTCAACTTGCCTAGGATCAATTTCATGATTGTTCAGCTTGTTTGTTAATTTAGTCAATTGTGCCTTGATTGATGTTCTAATCCTTTTGTAACTGTTTAAATGTAATGTAATGTCAGTTGACTCCATTTTGGTTTTCCTCGTCGCCAGTTATCAAGTCCTTAAATTATATAATAAACAAGATACAAGAGAATGTACAACCTATTTTATTCAACCATTTTAACTGAATGAAAAATATATAAACACAAACATAAACATTAAAAACAATAACATAAATCATGTGTGTTAAGTCATATGTTGATGACAACTCCTTATTAACGTAAGTACCATGTGGTACCATTTAATGTTAAATCTGAATATCGAAACTAAAAAATAATCCTTGTTGATCAATTTTTTTATCAAATTCTTGGCTCAAACTTTTTCTAGTGTTATAAAAACAAAATCAAACCTAAATAATATGCATCACATATTACATCGGATGTACAGTTGCCGAAACTTAAACGGAAGTTCCCGAGTATACTATAAAACGATGTAAGTTCTGATAGACAGCCAAGTTGACCGGAACACGCCCCCGTCGTGGTTATTGCCAGTATTATCCTTACAAAGGTTTAACTTGAGAAGTGTTGTTCACTGATCGCGAAACATTTTTTCCAATTTACCTTTAAGGGGTCGACCACATAGTGTTATTTTATGCAAAGCAATGACGTTAGTTTAGTTCTATATGGTATAGAAAGTAAAGGTATAAGAAGCAAAGGATAAATTCGAACTCTCAAAACCGGATAAATCGTAGTTTTTAATAGTAGTTGGTTAAGCCTTTTATTACCCTGAATTATATGTTACTGTAAACCTCGATAAGAAGTCTGCATCTTGATTATCTCCATGAGAGAACTTTTATCGAGGTTTTACTGTAATATACAATATTATTAATTGCCAACAATAATAATGTTTACATTAATGACATCTCCACATTACATTATCATTATTGTAATTTAGTAAAAAGTATATTCAATGATGGAATAAACACTTAACCGCATTTAAAGCGCAAACATTTCAACAACTCTTGAAGTAAAATATATAGATGTAAATAAACTTAATTGTAGTAATGGGTTTTAAATGGTGGGAAAACTATCAATAAAATCATCATCAATCATTAATAGTCGCATATCCTATACTCTAATACGAGCAATGTTTGCTTGTATGTATGCTTGCTTGCTTGCTTGCTTGCAGAAAGATCTCGAAAACGGCTCCGACGATTTTCTTCAAATCTTGTAAATAGTTTATTTTTGGCCTAAAAACAAGTTTCATGCAGTTAGAACTGCCAACAAAAATCTAATTACGTAGAAAAACGAAACTGAAAGTCACATTTTTTTTAACATTAGTCTTATGGGTTGCTAAGTAACCATGTTGGTTGAATTAAATAACAAGGAAAAGGTAAACAACGACTTGAAGTTGTAGCACGTGTTCATAATAAACCAACTACCCACAGTATACTAGCAAATTACAAATACAGTACAAAAGGAAAAACATCACTTGTTAATATTGAGCAAAGATTATACCAAAGATTGATTATACTTAAGATTACTCGAGACATTGTAGTCAAGGGTAGCAGTGCGAAGTCTAGGATCTGTTTATGACGAATACATTAAGGTATCTGCAATCCTAAAATGCTATGGGAAGGGAAGGAAACAGGTCCGTGACGTAGGAAGTAGTGAAGGAAGTAGTAAAGGCAATCATAAAATGCTATGGGAATAGAGGGAAACAGGTCCGTGACGTAGGAAGTGATGAAGGAAGTAGTAAATGCGAGCAGTCCGGAGTGTGGGGACTGTTTATGACGATAAGATTAGGGTATCTGCAATCCTAAAATGCTATGGGAAGGGAGGGAAACAGGTCCGTGACGTAGGAAGTGGTGACGGAAGTAGTCAAGGCGAGTTGTCCGGAGTGTGGGAACTGTTTATGACGATTAGATTAATGTATCTGCAATCTTTAAATGCAATGGGAAGGGAGGGAAACATGTTTGCGACGTAGGAAGTGGTGAAGGAAGTAGTCAAGGCGATTAGTATGGAGTGTGGGAACTGTTTATGACGATTAGATTAACGTATCTGCAATTCTGAAATGCTATGGGAAGGGAGAAAAACAGGTCCGCTACGTTGGAAGTGGTGAAGGAAGTAGTCAAGGCGAGCTGTCCGGAGTGTGGGAACTGTTAATAACGATTAGATTAAGGTATCTACAATCTTAAAGTGCTATGGGAATGGAGGGAAACAGGTCCATGACGTAGGAAATGGTGTAGGACGTTGTAAAGGCGAGCCGTGAGGAGTTTGGGAACAGATTTATGTATCTCCGATACTAAGACTGCTTTCAGAGTGAACTAATGATTTTCTCCGAGCAAAGCTCGGTCCCCAGGTACTTTGAATAAATTGCATACAAAGTACATTTTCATTTCACCACATGCTCTTAGTTGCCGTTGGGCCGTTGATAGTTGGAAACTTAGAACATCAAAGGTTTAAAATGACTTTTATCTTTCACCAATGAAAGCTACATGTAATGATACTACACTTATTTATTATTTATAAAAAAAACCACAAATTTAAAAATCTCATACAATTTACTTGAAAAAAAAAACATTTATGACTTGTCTGCAGCAATTATTAAAACTTTTGTTAATTTACAGTGCTTTTTTGTTCCATCAGTCTTTTGTTCCCCCTGTTTTTCTGTAAGTAAACGTATTTGCGAAGGTTTCCTATTTTTTAGGTTCACCAGTTTTGCAAACATATCTGGAAACCAACTGTTGTTCTGAACATAAGAAGGTTTCAACTGACTACAGCCCTGTCCGTATAACGTGCACACAGCTAGTACCAAAATAAATAACAAACCAATCAGAGAATTTAAAGTAGTTAGAGTTTAACAATTATTGATAATCAATGAAAAAAGAAGCAATGTTTATTATTGCTTCTTTTTTCATTGATTATCAATAATTGTTAAACTCTTTGGAGCAGTGAACAACAATGATAAAATAGAATGAAACACAGTTATTTTCAACTCAGATCTAGATATAAGTTCTTATCTTTAACTAGTTCTCTTATTTCAGTTTGACATGATCAATTTCAAATTTGCAATAATTTACACGACCTTTCTTAGCCATGACATTGTATTTATCTAAGTTATAAAGTCGAAAACTCATAATAGCCTAATATTAAGTTTAAAAATATTCTAAGTTATAATGTACAGGGTTTGTCGACTGGGTGTAGTAATTGTTTGCAAGTTAGTAATACATAATAGAAATAAGAGGTTAATGTACTAGTATTATACCTTGTAATTACTTTCCTGAAACAAAGTAGAAACTGACGTTAATCTACCATTATGATGCTAATGTGCTGCTAGAGTTTCTAGCTCTGCTGTTATGACGCTAGGATTACAGAGTTGAGAAACTCATCTGCATATTCAACAGGAAATAGGTAAATGTTTACTCGTGGTTTCAGCTGGTGTATTGGTGTATCTCTGATACAATAGTAGACAAAGTTCACTGATGTCCACATTCAATATCAGTAATTTCAATTACTTTTTGTATACATTAAAATATCGAATTGGTCTGTGCATTGAAAATGATAATTAGGGAAGTAGACTGTACATTCGATGGTTAGCAAAGTGTGGGCCTTGGAGGAACAAGCTGGTCTAGTGAAAAGCGTGGGACTTCGGTCCCTGAGATCTCGGGCTCAAATCCCACCCGATCACCAATGGATTTTTAAGTGACAATTCCTCAAGCCCTATGGCTAGCCATAATTAATGTGGAACACAATCAAGTGGTAGAGCCTAGCGTCTAAAAAATGATGTGAGCGTTAGTCAAATTGTGATTTGAGTTTAATACTGTAAAAACGAATAAAATGGGTGTAAGGAACAAGCCACAGCCCTGGTAATTCTTCAGAAGTTAAAGAATCCAATAAGTTCGTAAAAATACAACTCATACTGTACAGTTATGATAAAAAATGCATTCACATACTTTTGTAATAAGAAAACCTGACGTTATAATAGGGTCAGTAAACAATAAATGTCCGCAGGCAGCTGACTAAGTTTATAAACTCAACAATAGCTATTTACCTTACAAGTGTAGTAAGAGTGTTTTTACATCACGCAGGTGAATGTTGTGCAACGAGCGGAAGCGAGCTGCATAATTTACCTAAGTGATGTAAACACGCTCTTGCGTAACGTGTAACGTACAAGATTTTACCTGACCCGACAATATACAGGAGGTTACGAACAATATTTTGCATTGTCCATTTCACTCATCTTCTAACAGTAACGTTCATTTACAAACAAAAGCTAGGTTAGGAAAATTCTTCAAAACATAACAATAAAATTCAAGCGCACAGCTGATTTCTACCGTTGAACGTCGTTGGCTCCATAGAGGTATATTTTTTAAGTTAAGCACTCAATGTTATTTAAAAGGGTTTCATTACCTCACCGAGTGAGTTTTTTTTCAACTTTACATCACTCAAGAAGTAAAGAAGTTGTATACATCACGCTTGGGATAGGGAAGTTTAAAATGGTGGGTTAGGTAAATAGTGTTCTTTAATCTAAAAAAAAACTAAATAGTAGAATAATTAACATCCAAGATGGATTTATTTTCTCGAGTGTTTTAAGCAACAAAGCAAATTCGATTAGAATAGAGAATACTGTTTTTTTTCTTTTTTTATTAGTTTCAATGCTATAAAATACTGAAAGACATTATTTATCCAAAACGCGGGAACTCTAGATCTTAATTGAACTGCAGTACTAATAAAAAAAAATTGAATTGTACTTTTTTAAATTATTTCAGAAACTTTAGTCATTAAATCGTTCACTGACCAAAACTATATACATCTAGCGTACGAAAAGATTTAGCGTTGTCGTTTCGTGAACAAGCACAAAAGCCAATTGTAAATATAAAAAGACGGGAACTGTATATCTTGGCTGAACTACAGTAGTAATAATATTACAATTTTGATTTGTACTTTTCTGTAACAACTATTAAAAAAACTCCCGTTATAAGACATTTGACTGTCTAAAGCTATTTACATCTAGAGTATGGAAAATTTAGCGTTCTCGTTTCGTAAAAAGCACAAAAGCCAATTGTAAATATCCGGTTCGGCCATGTTAAGCCTGTCTCAGTCACATTTAATTAAAAACAGCGCCCACAAAGCTTGATTTACGCTGCAAAAGATAAAACCCCTCGTAAATAATCTAGATCGGTTTCTAGATGTTTGGGCTTCAGTGAAGGATAAAAATATATCAATTAAAGAAAACCATATAACATGAGATTTGATTTTAAAACAAACCGTTTTACTCTTTTATTTTCTACAGTTTTGTTTAAAGAGATTTACAGTTTTCATCACAGTAAACCCACATATTTTTACTTGACTGATTTACACATACATTTTCACACCAACAGTTATTGGAGTTTATCGGGATAAGAACTAGGGCCTCTTTAAGGGATTTACCATTAGACCTTTTTGTCACAGACATAACGTACGTATTACCAATAATAACGTAAAATAAACATTTTTTGGTGATCAATGTTATTTAAACCAATCCTTGTGGGGCCTAATACACTATTTCATTATTATTAATTAGAATTGTTTTCTTGGCTAGAATTTATTTTTGGTTAAGAATTACATAACACAATTATTATGAATGAAAAATATATGGAATTTTCGCACTATCTCCACTTTTAAAAGCGTTTGTCAAAGTAGATTTAATAATATTTAACAACAGTTTGCATTAATTTGAATTAAATGCTAACATGGATTATCTTATAGACTCCATCCTGAGTACAATTGTGAACGAAGTTTACCAACTGTATTCAACCAAGAAACATCCTTAAAGTTCTAAACAGTTTCAAACTTTCACAACACTTTCTTCGTCATTCACTGTTCCTGAGTCATTTAAAAGGTTGACAAATATTTATTTTTGTTGTAATTCAATATTTTTAGTCGCACCGAGTGTTAAGTTTTAAAACGTTTTACCAAAATAACAATTAAAGTGAAAATGAGATTTTGTTTCCCTTCGTTTCTGTGGAATATCTTACATATAATTTTTAGAGAATTAAATGTTATATATGCTAAGTGGTTGAATAATAAAACATTTTTGGTTTCTATAGGTTCAAATAAATTAAGGGAAAAGACTATCTATGTTGTTTAACACTACGGGTGCGCTCTACCCCTGCCGTTTTGTGTAAACGCAAGGGTCTGGGGCAACCGTGTTTCCAAAGGCTACACTTAACTTAGAATCAAAGTTAGGGTGGCATTTTGAATAGGAATAATTTATCTAAATTGGTTTGGTTTCAATATGTTTAACAACGTACCAAGAGCCTGAAAATCGTTTTTGAATGTAGACAAAAACGGTAATTTTAAACTGCTTTAACTCATTATAGAATTATTACTTTAAAATTCTAAAACCAGGGTCGCATAGATTGTTCTATGTTCTGTAAAACCCCACTCGTTGTTATTTACTGGCATGTATGGGTAGTTTACAAAGGCAGTTGCCGTTAACGTCTGCAAGCACTTCTCGCGGGGCTGTTCAATGGCGCAACATAGCTACTGAAGCCCGAGCTGAGATTTCTGAGCTGAGGTAGAGCGCATCCTTAACGGTGGAATTCTAGAACCAGTGAAATGAATCCATCCATACATCTAAAACTGACGTCACGGTTGACACCGAAAACCACAATGGATGCACGAAGATCAGTGAAATATGTTATTTTAGCCGAGCTTCATTAATGTGCAGAGTTAGGATTTCGTTACGGTAAAAGTAAATTCAAAATTATTAATTTCTGATTCATAAGCAGAAAGTATTTCCAATGTTCGTTAGAATAGAACTTCTTTTAGTAAGCTCACACAACATAGCCTACGCGCGTTTATATACTGAAATAAATGCGCTTATAAATAAATATATGTATCGCAGTATCATAAAAAATGGTACGGATTTTAGGAAGCAGTGTTTTTAAATAAAACAATTTTACTTAAGATGTATAAAGTTATCATTAGTACCACCCTTTTATTCTACTGTTAGGTGTGTGATAGCGAAAACATTTAATACCTCCTCCAAATTCTACAATATTAGTTCAACATATCAGGATCAGAAAGGAGAGCTACAACTCATTAAGAAGTAGGATTACTGTCACTTGGCTTGAGGCAAAGGCGCTTTTTAGCTTTATGTGCTTCTAATAATTCAAAGTCTTAAGTTGTTTTTTAATTTCCTACTTTTCTATCTCAGAACCTAAGTTCCATCCCAAAATTGTTTTTATCATTTCTTCAACCTTGGCCCAGAGAATTGTGGGTTCATCACAAAGTTAAATCCATTGGTGATTGGTGGGATTTAAACCCTGGACCTCGTGGACTGAGCCCTGCACTATATCACTAAACTAGCATTACCGATCCTATCCTATGCTTCTAGGTTTCAAATGAGGTGACCCTTGAACTGGGATTTTCACAACCAGTACTAACCTAAAACATTTTGTTCTAGATAGTTTATTTTTTTATTTACCATATTTTACATCCTAGGACGCTAGGTTTCTAGCCCGGAACAGCTTTACACATTACTAAAGCTAGTCGTAGAGGGTTTTGGCATCATCACATGGATAAAATCCGTTGGCGTTTGGTGGGATTTGAACCTAGGATCTTAAGCCCCACGCTCTACCACTAGACCAGCTCACTCCCCGTAGTTTTAGATAGTAAGTTTTGGTCTTGACAAAATGTATGTTATACCAATGAAGAAAGGTTTTGTTTTGTCGCATCGCCGAGGACAAAAGGACGTAAGATTATTAACGAACACCACCCTAGCAAAGTTAAGCCTTCCTCTCTCATATTCATTAAAACCTACCTTAAACAGCAGATTTATTTCAAGGGGAAAGTTTAAATCCTCTTAAACAAAAATTATACCTTCCCTGTAATGATGTAAAGAAGATATATTTTGTTGAACGTTGTACTTTTATGCACTAAGAAATTCTATGTGGACAAACTATACTGCATAATTTATGAAATAGTTTATGGAACCAATATACTGTTACTCTAATCTTCTCGATTTAGCCAAAGTGAGAGTATAAAACAACTGCCATGGTGTTAAATAAAGAATATTCAAGATTATCATAAATGCTAGTTAATATGGAAAGATTCAGCCTGTTAGAAAATAAAATTTTATTCAAAGAAAAGTAATCAACTGTACACAGTACTTAACTTTCCTGTATAATTTCCGTTTTGCAGCAGTATATGTTGATGTTATTATGTTTGGTCTTGAATAAGTAAACAACAACGACATATCAAATGGAAAAAAATAAAACGAGGTTAAAATCAAACAAAAATTGACAAATAAGTTGAGATGTTATAAATTATTTGTATATCATTTTTCTTATGTTTTTTAAAAGACACTATCATATTTTCCATAACCTTTTGGATCTACTAATCAAATACAGTACTAAGCTGTCCAACTCAACATCAAAGAGCAGCATTTGTTAACCGAATAATATCTAGTTTTTTTTTCTGCCAGACTAAATATTTTTCTACCATAAATAGCAGAATTTTAACCACTGCAGTGAGCCTCAGAAAATTTGCAGCCATCCAATATACTGATATATATTGATATATATCGGCGTGTGTTGACTCAAAGTATACGAAAAGAAGGGCTTACACCTAGCAGTCGCAATATTCAAATGATTTATTTTGAACGAAATTATGGCACACTCAAACTACTCGAGCAAATGTTCATTCAACAATTTCTATTCAAAAGTACAACTGTCCAATTATTTGACATAAAAACATTTCTTAATTTTTGCTTTATCTAAAATAGCATCTTCAAATATGAATATTAAATTTCATAAAGATACCTTAATAGCTTTTAAAATGTAAATTTAAAACACAAAAACCAAATGGCAGATATCTCATTACGAGTCGTAAAAAAAAAATTATTAATGATTTATGTTTTTTTTGTTACCCTTTGAAACTATTCCAAGATTGTTGGTATTAATTTACCTTACATATTTATACAGTGTGGCTATTTTTCCCACTGCACACCGCGCAATTGTTCTATCAGCATCAGCTTGTCTGACTTCAATACTCTCGGAGATCATTTTCTGAGAGAGCATATTGACGAAGCTGGCCTCATTTTTGTCATTACAAAGAAAGTTTTCTTGCTTTACTGTCACTGCCATTTCTTCAGTGAAATCAATGTCGACTGTTACGGTCTTGGTGGTGGTTTGTCGTTGTTGTTTGGCATGTTTTGTGCTGTTGACAGTATCTGAGTAAACACAACAGTGCGGAATTCACCTGGCACAAAACACAGCTGGGTTTTCCTTGGGGCGAAAGCGGAGAGCGGAGAGAGGAACGCGGAGAGCGGACTCCTCTTGTCTTAGGTAATTTTAATGTTATTGTTTTCCTAGAAGCGGAGCGGAACGCCATGTTAATCGCTTTTCCGCTCTCCGCCCACCGCTCTCCACGCTCCTCTTCCGCGTCTAGGAAAACCTGGCTTAAGCCGTTTTTTTGTAGGGAATTTTGTCAGCTTTAACTTTTGTACTTAACACTTTTCAATACGACTTACAGATTCCGATATGTAAGCGGACAACTAAAATAAGTCACATAAAGAGCCCTTCCCTTAGTCAAGCTTGACCCCACCTATCAGAACTTTTTATTTCTTTTAATCTAATAAACAAACGTTTAAACAAATTTTTCAACCCTCCGGTAATTATTTCGCCTGATTAGTCATTTAACTGGACTAAAACTAAAAAATAAAGAGATTATAACTTATTTTTGCTTGCAATTCTAAAAGTATATCTACCATAAGTAACTTATGATATTAATATCAAACGTTAATATTCGAGATACTGCATTTAGGTCTCTCTAAAACTTCATTTTGTTTGAATATGTTTTCGCGAAATCAATAATATACAATTCCATATTGATACTATCATGCCTTCTAATTTCACGGATTCTGCTCTAGATACTGAACAAAGATAGCTAAAATTGTATTCCTATTGAATTGGCTACATGGTGAACTAATAATAGCAAAAAAGAGAAATAACCCAGAGCCTGATGTTGTTTTACTGCAGGGTGTGAATACAATTTTCGTGTATAAAAACTATCGTTTACAAACCTTTTGTCAGTAGATGAAGATAATTTTGCATTGTGTACTGTGGCCGTTAAATAAAAGATTTTGACTTTTAATTGACATAAATATTGACATAACAATGCACAAATACTGTTTAAAAAAACCTGCCAACACTGTTTAACTGTTTAAAGGTAAATAACAACACAGACAACATCAACATTAGGCCAGCCAAGTTAACGAGTGTTTAATGTTGGGGACAAAGACGTGATTTAAGACAGTGTAATGAAGCCTGATGGGACACTTAGCGGGGTTGCAATTACACAAGGAAATATTTTACTTTTTATATTAAATCTTTGTTGAAACCTTTGGATGCCGTAAATGTAATCAATAAATATCCCCGTTATTGCTTACTGGTATAGATTGATCGACTTATCGCGTTTTTGATCGATAGTCGATTGGATACGACTAATAAAACGTTTGTTATACTTCGACCTTGTAAAATAATTTTAACTATATGTGACCAGTACTAAATAATCTTGATGTACATGTTACATGGTCTCAACTTACAAAAAGACTGTGCCGTGTAAGAATGTAAAAATATTTAGAACGATTTTGCACATTCTATGGACAATACCCATCCATCCTAAAAACTACCCGATGTCATCACACGGCTTGAACAGCTTTAACTGACATTTTCCAATAATGCACCTGTCAGCTAAATAAACTATGACTGAATATTATAAAACGTTACTGTTTTTTCCAGTAGAATAAAGTCACTTTGGATGACAAGCTCTAGAGCAAGCAAAAGCTTTATTTAAGCTGTTCTTGGCTAAAGTACTGTCCTTAAAAGGTAATCATAAAAATAGTTTCCGGCGGGTGAATCCAGCATCACACATTTTAACTATATTGTCAGTATAAAACATTAAATAGATAACTTAAAACTTAAATACTGCAAACTTGTCAGCTGCAAACATATACAGTGTCCAGTAGTAATTTCCCTAGGGACAACAGTGTGTCCAGACACGTGCCTTATAACACCCTAGGGAGAACTTCTGTAACTTGCCTGTATCTATCCCTTATTGAAACCAATAACACTATCATAAGAATGTAGTATCGAAATCTCAATTCTGAAATGACTTTAGATATTTAAAACGTCTTTATTCATACGTATAGCTTACTAGTTTCTCTCTTTGATGAATTGAGACGAAATGGTCACTCTTGAAATCTCCAGAATGGCCTTAATTAAAGTTGGGAATTTTCCAAACCCCCAAAACACCCCGTTCTCATGACCCGATCTTACTGGTTCGCAAATTCATCCAAGTTTATGCAATCCCAACACACTTATGCAAACCCAACACATTTATGCAAAATGTCATCAAAATCAGACCCAAATTACTCCGAGCTATCGTGTTACCACGAGACCTACGTGTAAAAGCTACTTGTGCATTGCCCTATAGGGAAATGCACAAAAAAATAATCTTACTCAAAAGCGACAAAAATAAATGACGATTAATGTTTTCTCAAACTGGTGATCTGTTAAAATATAACAAAATCGTCCAAAAATATATAAATTATAAAATCAGCTTAATGTGTAAAAGTAGTTAAACAGACGAAATAAATTTGAAAAAATATAAGAGGTAAACAATAGTATATTTCGTACCTAGGGCCGGAAATGAGGTTTTGCCGGCTCGAGATAGTTTTTAAACTTTAAACGTTTGTAACTTAAACGATCGATAGCTGCAAAACCATTTCGGTCCGTGGTACGAACTCTATTTTTCACCACACTACTACTATTCACAATAATAATTAATGCACACTGATAGTCAACGCAACTTTAAGGTTATGCGAAGAAGTAATTTCAGCACCCCAGCAAAAATAATAATAAACAGTTGCTAGGCAACGGTGAAAATAGATCAATTCTATTGCAATGCTATGGATCCTGATTGTGTATTTAATATGCATGGGGGCAGCTGATTTTGCGGCCCTAGGGATGTAAAAACCTGCTCGGTCCCCAAATGACGATGACAGCTGGCATGGCCAGCAAAACGTAACTTTCAGCCTCTAATTAACGTATGTAAAACAGCTAATAACATCATAGTGTGGTGAAATAGTAGTTTACGCAACGATTGCGTAAAGTTAGTGTTAACGACACGAGTAGAAAATTTAAGGTACGAGCCTTGGCGAGTGCCTTAAAAACTTCTACGAGTGTCGTTAACATTATTTACACGAGTTGCGTACCATACTTTACCTATGTCATTGTTTTAATTGCTAAAAATCACTACTCATAACTTCTAAAAAAGGGTATTTTTTCGTTTATGACCTCTCATTGCCACTGACAGTGATGCAACGAAACATTGTATCAAACACTAATTGCACCAATCAACAATTAAATTGGCCTAAACAGCTGATTAGTTGAATTTCAAATCATTATAATTTTACTTCTCCTCTCTCAATCCTTGAACCTTATTGGTCCGTTACCCGTGTTGTTATGAGTAAAACTATGCTGTTATGAAAGTAAACAATGCTGTTATGAGATACTTTTCAATTCTAAGAACTGTACTGAAACGGCTACTTAAAAAAAAACGGTCGTAGGTAAAATACATTACATAGTTGACACGGGTGACACGATTTTTCATCTAGTTATAGTTAAAGAACCGTAAACGTCACAGTGAGTGGCGTAACAGTTGTCTCATGACGTCACAGAGCTCCAGGCAATTACTGGACTTGACATTGACTAATTACTGACTTGTCTTGTAACTACTCTGAGCTGAGGAATTTGTGTCACGGAATTAATTACTTACTAAACGTCTACAAGCTGCAGCTGATATAGGTGGTATTCGTCAGAGAAAGTGATTTAATTGATCAAAGAGTTGTAAGGGTGCAAACATGTAAAGATGTAACATCGGTTAAGTTAGTTGTTTTTTTTTATTTTAAATTGTTATTATTTGTTTCAAGTAATTGTGTTGTGATTTATTATTGTGAAATTTAATTATTAAAACGAATAATCTATTCTTAAAAAAAGGATGGACAAAGAAACACGTTAAATCGAACTCACTCTATTATATGTATTTCACTCGGATTCGGAACAATTAAGCTGTTTTGAGTCACCGTAACAATACAATCATACAAGGACAAAGCAATGTGATATACTTATCCCTGTTAAACTGATGTTTGCCAACTAGAACATCTCCGACTATTTGCAAGGCAATTATAACTTTAGCACAGGTTTAGAGAGTTAGCTAAATAAGTTAGATTAGTTTATATGATTTCAGAGACTGTACGCTACAGATTTTGTACATTGTTGCACCATACTTAAACTATTTTAGGGATCTATTCTTGTTTGATTACTTTCCTACTTTAGGCTATACAGGGAAAATACATTTAATGTTGCAGTCATCCTCATAACCTTTGTAAGACTCCAAATCTTGAGCGATATTAATAATTTTAACAGTGGAAAGGATTAAGAAATACATTACAAGGTAAATAAATAATGTAAGAAAAATATAATGTATTCATTGTTTTTACTCGTTGTTTTTGCAACTGCTACGCTAAATCTTGCTACTAAATCTAAGTACTCGTATTTAAATAAGGAATGTTATTTCCTACAAGAGTAACTAACGTTCAAGTCTGCAGCAGGGAAATACGAGTTTGCAGTAAACAACAAAGGATTTCCAGCTTTGGGCGGTGTTTTATATGTACTGTAAAACCTGTTTGAGACATAAAAAGTGGTCTTGTGTAGTAGTAAGCTTTACCAAGGCCTGTACACTTTTTAAAAATATGTCAATGTGGCTTTGACATTACTGTTTCTTTAATACGATAAAAGAAACTCAATAACCAGAAGTAAATGTAATTGTTTTTTACTAATATTTCATTTTCGTTTGACACAGGGGTTTGGTATAGGTGAATTTTGTACATTCATTATTAAATAATATATGCCAACTGTAATATTTCATTTCATTCATTCATTTTTTTTGCATTAAAGTTTCTTAAAATGTTAACTTTTGTTCATACATCTTTGTTATTAATCACTCCTCAGAAAGGCTGGCCTAGTATTCATTTTCCTAATTTATACAATTTCATTAATCTGTTCAGTTAATCATTAATAATATTCATTCCATAGCCTATATATTTTTTTACAAAGCCCACAACTTAGTTATTTATTAAATATGTAAGAGAATTGCTATACTGTACATCACAATTTCTTATAATATAATTTCAAAATTAGTCCTTAAGGAATCAAAATTCTAGAAGCAATGAAGCAGTGATCCATGTGTTCAACAATAAACCTTGGTGAACATTGAGATTGAGAAGAGCAGGGCAGCCATAGTTGAAAATTGAAACTGTTAAAAGAAGGAGTCCAGATTTTTTTCTAAGTTAAATTAATTAAATTCATCAAGAAAATCCAATTTTTAGATTCAAGTATATTACAGTCAACCTCAAGAGGACTAACTTCAACATCATTTTCAAAATTAAGTATAAACTTTTCTTTTAAACTCTTTTGAATTCAGTGAACATTAGACTTACCTTTTGGACAACCTCAAAATAAGATTTTTCATTGTTGGGATTTTGTAAGCTTAACACATTAATTATTTGGACACTATTTAATTTATTAATTTTAGCATTCAAGCCAGCACGACACCCTACCCTGAGATAAAGCCCATAATTATACTATTTTAAATTTGAACCTTTATTTAAAAATTAATCTTCTATTTTATTATAACTTCAGTCCACACTCCATTGTCAAACCTTTCATTACAACGTAACTTAGCCTTTTAAATTTCGTTGCATGTTTGTTCTTTTGTTTCAATAAAATATCTTTTGTAATTCGTATCTCTTTGTTATTAACTTTAAGCATTTATAGAATAGGCCTAGCCTAAAATGAATATTGTGAGGTGAGTTTACACAACTCTGCTCAATCAATAAAAAAATGTTTTTAAAGCTGTAATATCTCATCACTATAACACTTTAATATCATTTAAAACTACTAATATCTTAAATATGCTACTAACATGGTTATGTCTTTTTAGTTAAGTTTGGATGCTTTCAAAAATATTATTGGTCAAATATTAACGGTCATATTAATGTAATGAAATACCTATTACTTTAAAGATTGTATATAACTCCTGCCATGAAAATTAATCTATATAACTATAAAAATAAACTATTATATAACAAGTATATATATAATTAATTTGAAAGGGTGATTTCGTGAACATAGCTCCTCCTACAGTTTTAACAGAATTGTGGATATTTATTGGCATGCACTGTGGATGCGATGCTCACTGATGTGGATTAACGTCCGAACTGGTGAGTACTACCATAGACTAAAAGAATTAAATATGGTACTACGCATATCCGCAGTACTATACAGATAATTAGAACAATTAGTTAATTACAAGGAAAAATGTGGTTCGAATTCCACTATAAACTGTAGGTCCCTAGTTGTCGTTGGCTGTAAAGAGATGTGTCTAAGGAACATACCGGCCATTGTCACTAACAAGACTAAAAGATCGCGCCATTCACCCTACACTCATCCTTCACTCATCTTTTGGGCTAAAATACGCACATAGTGGCGTCCCCATCTTAAATAATTGGTAATTGCTAATTGATTGAATTGATAATTGATGATTCAAACTATCAATATCTCAAATGAGAGCCTTTATTTCTAGGAGTGTTTTAAGACCAAGACATAATATAATAAACAATGGAATTTCGTATCGTTGATTGCAGATAAGTCCTAAAATAATTATAGTTATTGTTGATTCGTGATTCATCAGCGTTCTTCAGTCTTAATAATCAATAGCTTAAAGCCGGCATTTCACTGAAGGTTATTAGACCAAAATATATTGGATATGTAGGTAATTAGAACTGTTGAACTAGCCTACATCTTTATTTAAAGTAAGAATTCGGAGAAAATCAAATTTATGTTTTTCGGTAAAGTAATACAGTAGATAAATGAAAGATGATGCTTGGTGGCAAATCTGTGTGTGCACACGTTTAATTAAAACAAAAGATTATGGAAATAGGTTTAGTAGAAGAGACGAATCGACTCAGAAAAGAAAACCCAAAAAACTTGTAATATATAGCCTACCTAGATAATTTAAAAATATGCTAAAAAGGAAAAACATAACTAAACTTATAACTGAACATTATTGCACAATCCAAAGGGTGATTTATACTGCTACAAACCTGGTTTTAAGTTTTAAGAATAAATTCAAATAATAGTTTGGGTTAATTAAAGTTTAAACAACACAAATGAATTATTTATACGAATCCAAAACATCTATTAAACTACTAATTTACTTAAATAGGTTTATTACAAGAATCTCTTTGGATGAAGTTTAGTTTTGCAATGGCTGAAGACAATTACAAAGCTTTCTATCTTTTACAAATTTTTACAATTGAAATAGCTCAACTGAGAGCTACGATCTCCAGAGCAAAGCAGTTCGCTTCTACACTTTGCACGACTTCCGGTCCGGAGATTGCCACTTCCGGGAAAGTTCTTCCAGGTCCGGCTGCTCCGATGTTTATGTCTTGTAGCTTTAATTTACAACTAGTGAAAGCTAATTGTGAGTAAAACCAAGAAGAACATTCTTTTTTAAAAAAAGTAAAAAAGACTGAGCTGAAGAACACTTACTCCCTAAACAGTTCAAAGACTGAACAAATTAAATACAATCGTCTGCAATAGATAATTGATTTGAAAACCTACAAATGAATCTCTAAAATGTTAGATACTGACAATGAAATGACTTGACAGTAAAAACTCACATTTTATTTTTCGCTACGTATGTTGAAACATGAATTAGGCCATTCACATTTACTAATAATTTGATACAAATTAAAATAAAATCATTTTAGGGCAAAATCATTAGAAGGCTCCACCCGCCGGGTGGTTACCATGTAAATATGGTCCTACAAAAATAACCTCGTGGCATTATTATCATTTTGTAAATATGTAAATTAGTTTTTCACCGGTGATTTTAACTTAATAGTCAAAACTTTATTGTTCCCCATCCAAACAAATTAGTTTTAGAATGTTGAGAGCTTGTTCAATAGAAGCATGTTTAATCCCAAAATGTATTTCAATGCATATAATACGCCATATTGAATTTAAATTCAGCCTAGAACCCACTTAATATCTTACCTTTCCTTCTGTGGGTTTCGGTACCCCAGATAGTACTGATTGTACGCCAGCACGCTGCCTTCTTTTCTTCACCGTTTTCTGAAGTCTTCTAAGATCTGGTCTTGCCATCTTAGCATAAGTCTATAAACTTAATGGAAATATTTGACGTTATTGTCTTGATTAATTCCTCTAATTCCTCTTCCCTTAGTACAAAATGTCCTGCCCATCTCTTACTTCTTATTTGTGTACAATTTATTCTCTTAAGTTGTATTGCACACTTAAAATAAATTTTTTGGAAGAATACGTTTAAAATGAAAATTTACAAGTAAGTTAATAAATAAATTAGTCATTTACATATCTTTTGTATAGCTAAATTAGTTTAACTTTTTTCCAATACATACCACTGATAAAACAAAACCATGAAACCATCTATCTTAGGTAATTGTTGTATTAGGAACATTTTAGAAAATAAAGACAGATAGCACATTGTTTTAAATTAAGTAAATTCGTAGCAATTCACATTTAATACCAGGATTATCACTATAAAGGTGGGTTGAATCGCGTAGCCCATCCAGACATTACATTTGCATACATATTGGACTCTGGGGGCATCAATGTGTCTTCCTAATGTTAAAAGAGTTGTATACATCCTCTGCTATGAATGGATATGTTTTGTAATTTAAGTATATTATATTTTCGTATGTCTGGTGGTAACATTACTACCACACTTATAAAATCAAGTACTACTTGCGTAAAATATTATTATTTTTGGTCAGGGTAAATTATTACTGACACAAGAAGTGAGTAATTTGTTAAATTAGTGGTCAAAACATTAACATTCCTTCCCATAGAGTTTATATTGGTTGATATCATTAAAGCAGTTATAAATACATATTAACGCTTCTATGTTTTTGCAACACTACCACTGAAAATAATATAGCACGAAACCACAATCACTAACCACAAACCATCTGTCCTTCCCAAATAACAAAATGTTATTCGTTGAATAATTGATACTGTATGTTATTATGTTTTTGCAATCTGTAAAAAAAAAAACTTTTTACGTGAACAGTAAAAAGTATTTTAAGAAGTGTGTTTAGGTTCCTAAATGTTTATAAGTGCCTACCCACAAACCACCTTACAACGATTAATTATATATTTTTTTGTACTTAAAAAAGAAAAGAAACATGCTGTAATATATTGTTTTTTACTTTAAATTAAATGGAACTCGCCAAACGAGTCTTGTAAGCTTGGTGAGGCCAAGCTAATGTTATATTACAACTTAATATGAATTTGAATCTTTGAATATTATATGGGACTTGATTAGTGATCGCGTTTTCCTTCTCAAAATTTGCTCCCGTTTCCAACCCCCTTTTTACTTTGGGAAAAATACAAAATTTGAACAAAACTTACAATAATATGATTATTGTATTACAAACTCATTTTGAAATACACTAAATATTTAGTGTCTTTTTTAATTTCTGGTATCTTCAAAGCGAGCAATCTTATTACGTAATTACTTTATAAGGTTTCAACCGCACCGTGCATCGTGGACATTTGAGAGCAAGCTGGTCTAGTAGTAGAGTGCGGGACTTCGGTCTCTGAGGTCGTGGGTTCATGTCCTACCAAAGACTAATGCATTTGATCAAAGTAATAATGCCTTAACCCCCTTAACCTAGCCTGAAGTTGTGTTGAAACAATCCCAGGCTAGAACCTAGAGGAATGAGGAAAGATATCGGGGAAATTATTTATACTCATTACAACATTATAAGGTACATACACGATACAGTAATATTTTAGATGAAGATTCCTTTTGCATAGTTTGAGTATAGTCAAGCTAAACCCCTGTTTTTAAAAGTTTTACCGAGAGAAAATTTTGATGATCAGTGTTTATAAGCCTACGGTTCTGCATTAATTGTACGTTTTTTTGAACAAACAAATTAGCACAATTTGTCAATATATATTCTTTGAGTCATACTTTTTATTCAAGGAGAAAGGATAGCTTTTATATTTGCAGTAGTTTGTGGTATTAGGTGCAATACCAATAATATAACTATATTTAAAAATTAAGGTGTTAATATAAAGTATTGGCATTCCAGAATAAACGTAAACGTTCAATCTAGTTTGTTATCAGGGTGTTAAAACCATAAAACAAATTTAATTATTTGTGATATAAAGCACCCCTGAAGGGTGATATGATTAAAGTTTGTGAAGAGGAAACGCAATTTACTGTTGAATTATGGAGAAAGTTTTAACTACATTGGATGATTTAAGTTATTCTCAACCTCTGTGAAAATTAACTAGAGCTTCTGAACTATAAGTTTTTACTTTAAGTTAACAATTTGTTGTATTTTATTCTAAGGACTTAATATTAAAAGTTTGAACACACTAAGCATTTGTATTTACATTTTGGTTAGGATATAAGATTTTAAAACTTTCTGAAAAAGTCAATTATTAACTTATATTTTTCTAAATAATTCTTCATCTGCGTTATGAGTCTTTTGAAAAGGAAACTAGTACTGCATTTCTTTTTGAGCTTATAGTCAACACAATTTTTCCTGTCATGTTAATTTTAAAATTTCACTAATTAAAAGTCAATTTAAATTTTCACCAAACAGGTAATAACTTGAAATGTTTTCTAACAAATATGTATTTACAATCTGTTCTTAGTAAGTAAAATCCCATCAGCTTGTCTACAAACTTTCACGGTTAAACGGGGAGAGTAACTATGATATTTTATAGGGAAAATCACAAAATGGACATAACAGTATTTTTTATACAGTGCTATGCATAGGGTAGAAAATAAAAATATTTAGCCTAAAGATAAATAATTTATTGTGAAAATATTTTACCACCCTTAGCTGCTTCAAACACTGATTTATAAATTATACCATTACATTAGACGGATCTAAACCGTCAAATAAACATTATACAATTTAAATTGATCAAGTATTTAAATAAGGTTTTTATTTTTGTTTCCATTATTCAAATCAAATCAAATCAAATTATCCTTTATTCATTTAAGTACAACATTTGTTCTCCCAAAACTCTTCAAGAGAATAAGGGGCAATTTTAATAATACTGTTTCAGAGAATCTTTAAACTTTTTTTATCATTTTCAGTTAGAAGTGTTTTTGGAAGATGAGACATAAATTTATTTCCTGTGAATTTCGTTTTCTTTTTATAAAATTCTAGATTGTGTCTATCAATTTGAAATTGAGAACGAGTGTTATAATTATGACTAATTTTGTTTGATGCCTGAGTTTTTGTAATATTTTCGCATAAATAATAGTTTTCAAGATATATAGTCCATGAACAGTTAGTATTCCAAGATCGGTAAAAATATGTTTTACAGAAACTTTCCTT